AAATTGTAGGTTGTGAATTGGATATAGAAATCAATGTGGATAATGGTGAAGGTTGTGATGGCGGCTAGGATTTTGATAAGTTAGGCTTTGAAATTTGGCGAAATTGTGATTGGTGAAAGAGGAACCATTTGATTGACAAGACGGGTTGTGAGATGGAAATGGGTCAAACTTAAGTGGGTCAGAATATTAAAATGAAATGGGTCAACCTTATGGGTTTCTAAATGGTTTGTTTGATAAAAAAGAAATGGGCCAAGTTGTGTCTGGTTAGCTTATGAAATTAGCTCATAAATTGGGCTTTAATGTAGTTATTTCACTGCTTTTAGACTAAACTAACAATGGGCAAGGATCCTATTGGGCTCACCTAGTAGATTTAAATATGCTAGTTTCTTGGTTACCAATTAATTAAAAAAGACTTAATGGGCCTATAAAGTTTTTAAACAAAAAAAATAAAACTTATTTTCTAGGCTTTAAGAACCAAAGTTATAATATTTTATTTCGTGCCTATTATTTGAGCCTTAAATCATGAAACCCATTACGATTATGAAAACCCAAGTTCTATTATTAGGAGAACAAAAATTCTTGTAGGTTGTTAAACTATTTCCTACATCGACTTTTGACCATCAAACTATTTTTTATTCAAATTTAATCACTCAACTAACTAATCAGTACATTCGTAGCTATTTTGTCAAATTTTGTTCTTAATCTACAAAATAAATCAAACACGCGCAATTCACATGTCCAAATTTAATGGTAAATATGTTCACTAAACTTCTCAACCAGAAGGCAAAAATCCTTAGTGGCCACTAAACTATTGTGCTTGTATATTTTTAACCACTCAATTACTTTTTGATTCAAAATGGCCACTCAACTCACAAATGTGTAAAATAGTAGCCATTCCATCCAAACTCAGTGTTAACTCTAATGGAATGAGTTGCACGTGCACTACTCAAGTGCACATGCCAAAGACCATGGATAATTTTGTCCAAATAAATGAGACAAAAATTTAAATAGCCATTGAACTGTACAAACAGTATACTGTTAGCAATCTTTTATTCCAATTTTGTCTACTATTTTCATTTAATTTCAGGATTCTTGCAAACAATTCACAAGAACTTGAGTATATAATTTAGTTTTTCTATCAAAAATTATAAATTAGAATCTATTACAGAAAACTCTTATAGATTCTAAATTTTAATTCTTGTTAATTGGAAAATCTAAAACTCTAGATGGAAGAAAACCTAAAAAATTGCCCCTATTTTGTGGCACATGAAACGCACATGGAGCTCATTTTGTTAGCATTAATGACAAAATTTCATGCCTACCAAAAAAATTTTGATGAGAGGCATGTTTAATCAAATAAAATGATTGTGCATATGATATACAAAATGAATTTATGTTATATTAAGCTTTAAACAGTTATAAAATAGATAGCAGGGGCTATAGTTTGTTACGTTTATGTATAGTCAATTGGAGCAGTATGTCTAGCCTTTCACTCATGCTATTTTATGTGGTCAAGTAGTATTCGCAATACTTCTTGGTCGCCCTCCTAGAAGGAGTTAATTTCAAGGTTGGATATTTAGAAGGCGGGTATAGTATATACTTGTTTATGAGCTATATGGTTATAAGAATAAATGATGTTATAGACATGTTACATGATTTACCAAGATTTTCCATGATCATGTTTATGTCATGTTATGTTATGTGTTTTATGCAATTCAATTCTTAATGATTACGAAATGATGCCAATGTTTTCAAATTGGGATATGCATGCAATATTATGTGACCAAGTTTATAAATATTTAGTATGTATATAGTTATATGATTCAGTAGGGGTGTAAGCACTACTTACTGAGTCAAAGCGTATATCATTAAACTCATATTTTTTTAAATATTTTTCTTACAAATCAAGAAAGTAATATCATGCATGTTTGAAGATAAGAGAGAGATGAATAGTCTGATGGGTGTATTAAATTTTAAGAGTTTGAAATTTTCAAGGTAGGATTATTTAGAATAGTACTGATGATTTAAATATTTATTAATGTTAAGACTAGTGACCTTATCATTATGGAGAAATTGTAAATTTAAATTTTAGTAAATTTTATAAATTATGATCATGATGCATTGTATTTGTGGGAGTAAGGCCTCACAAGTACGGCGTGCCACGTTACAAATTTAGTTTATGGACCCAAATTTGAGATGTAACATTATATTCCTAATTTTTCATTAGAAAATAAATTTTTACGCCCAACATGAGAACTCCAAAATGCCATATGGACAATGCAGTAGGAGCGCCAAGTGCATGGATGTGGTGAAGGTGGAGAGATGCCAATTCAAGCAGTATTCCAACTGTTGCCTTCGTTGTGCATTACATATACTTAAACAAGCTGCTCATATTGAATTTGCAAAATCTAATTATGCACTTCTTAATTAAGGCTTGGCTTCCAATTCTTATGATTTTGCTCTTTTCATTCAACAAACAACATGCAAGACTATGTTTTACTTCCATCGATTGATGATATAATTATCACAGGTGATAATTTGGGTGGTATTCAGCAACTTAAGCAATATTTCATTCAACATTTGAAATGAGCGATTTTGAATCTCTCAACTATTTCGCTAGTCTTGAGGTATCATCTCATGGTAATAGTGTAAGGAATCATAGAGACATGCATAGTGAAAAATTTAAAAATTTCCACTCCTTCAGCAAATCGTATTTTGATTGAATTCATGTGACATAAAGTTAATTTAAATAAATTATGTCAACCCATGAAGATCTCCTAACACCGGTAGAGATTTGATGTAGAGCAGAGTGATCTATGTAGCCGCACAAATGTCCAACCTCTGACGTAATTTACATGAATCTCCTTAACTAGAACTTCCTATCAAATTAACTTAAACTAGATTAGTGTTAGTTATGACTAAGACAACTTATACAAATCGTATGAGAGAAACCCTAAGTTTTCACTAGGAAAACCCGCACAGGTGAGAGAAATGAGAGACACGTTTTTTTCCTTATTTCTTGGACAAATTTGGATATTTTTCTCTCAAGATTTTTGAAAAAAATCTTATAAGATAATTTGTATATGGGTTAGTTTTGTTAACAAAAGTTTAGTGAGTATTTATAGATAAATAAACTGTCCATATTATCATAGAGACCAAAACCAATTTCTAATATAATTTAGCTTTCTTATTCTAATACAACTCTTGTATTTGGAAGATTTAAACTTATTTGCAGTATATGTCTCCTAAGTTCAATTTGCTTCACAAATTAAACTATAAGTTATAAAAACTTATCTATCAAATCTCTACTTGAAATTCATTTAATCCAGTTAAAGAAGTTCTTAATGTGTGTAACTTATTAAACTCTCATGTATGTTAGCAATGAGCACGAGTTACAATTCTTAATAAATAAGAATATCATTGATTCCACTAATCAATCAACTCATTCTTATAGATCAAAATTGGGATCTGACAATTCATCATAATCATCCAAGTAATCAGTAAAGTCAAGTAAATTACTTAACCTTTCAGTGAGCATTTACCATGTAATTAATATCTTTTTACCACACATATTTCACATTAATTTTGGAATAAGTTGTGCCAATTTTATTATATGATTAATGCTTATTTCTTGTACCAAAATATAAATCCAATGAAAAAGTACTTAGAAACACTTTTTAAGACTCTTCCACTTAGCACTAAGTATTCCGAATTATACTTCTACAAGTGGCCAGATATGAGATAACTTATCTTCCATAAGAGATGGTGGTTATTTACCATCTTCCCATACTTCAAGTATATACTCATATGCGAATGATTGAGCATTCCCTATTATGAGAGCAAGCATATAGCAAATAAGATATAACTATCCATACTCAAGATACTACAATAACCTTAAATCTAAAGATCACTTGCATAAATTTCACTTAGGGATTAATCCTTTGGTACTTAAAAAAGATTTTTCTATGTGGATCAATTTAATAAATTTAATCATACTATCAAGCACCTATATACTAGTTTAGGTGTCTCACATACTCAGTAAATGAGGTCTACCGCTGCTTATATAGAAGTGCCATAATATATGGTAGTCTAATCATAATAATAATGCCCTTTCATATTAATATTTTGACTAGAGATATATAAGAATAAATCTTATCTATAGTCAAATGAACCTTACCATCATAACTCTTATGATTTCATTGATTGGGAAGGGTTTTATCATACAAATATATATATAAGTAATCAATATGATAAAGTTGTCATTTATTATAACATAAATAGATCAAATGCATACTAAACTCTAGAAGTTGATTAAATTTAGGGCATACACACAATCAAATAGTTGTCATCCATTCCGAGCCAAATGTCTTTGATCTCGTTGCTTGGGTTGGCTTAACTAATGATGAGTCCAATTATACCCCAGTTGAGACTAATACGCACCTCACTATAACGAATGGAACATTGTTTGTCACGCCCCAAATCGACTACCTGATTTGGAATGCAACACGCCGTAAAACTCAAGGAGTAAACCCCCCCTGAAGTCTTACAAGGCATCTTAATTTACTACTCAACCTTGCAAACAACACCTGGGATATATGCTTTCAAAAAAAAAATCCAATAGAACCATGTTTTACATCAACTAGCATAAGGAGTAAACGTATCATGAAAACAAAGGTCAAACTTGTCCACTTGTGGACTAATGCCAAATATTAAAATCCCTCAGACATGACTACATTATAAAAAAAATAAATCCCCGCTTCTAAACTCATAAGCTTGACCGCTATATCAACATCCAACCATTGACCATCTATTCTTCCTCTTCTTCCACGAACACTAACTCATATTCTCCATCGTTGTCTGCAAAATGGGGTGAGAAGGGGGGGTGTGTAACGCCCCCACTTCTCCCTAAGGCGAACCAAAGGGTATCCGCGGGACGCCTGCCTAGCTCTCGCCAGGACTCAAGCAATTCCATTCAACTTATAGCCAGACCACACAATACAAGCCAATAACTTAGATACAATAAAATGCGGAAACGTTCAAACTTAATAATAGTCATCCATTCTCCAAACCACACGTCGGTATACAAAATACATTTCGTCCAAAGGTTACATTTCCATACCAAAAGTACAATCCCAAAATCAAAGGCATAACCAAAAGTAATAGCAAACCCTAAAACGAAAATACATCAGGAGGGCTTCTCCATTTTACCTCCGAGTTCAAACCTGTTAAGGAAAACAAATCTACAGGGTGAGCAAAACGCTCGTGAGGCCAAGAACACACATGCAAACACATAGTTCAGATAACAAGCCCAAATAACAATTCAGGTATTAGCTTGCAAGTAATTAATAACACCAATAAACTGTAACCAGAAACAATTCAAGGATATAGAAGCTCTCAGGAGCTAAGTTCCACATTTGCCGATACCATTTATATATCTTTCCGTGATGACTCTCTGTCAACCGGATTGATATTTTCATATCCGTAGTTCACCACTTACTTCCCATCCGTCCACCATACACCACTTCGGGCCCGCACTTCATTTATAAGGCGATACTATACGAGTATGCCAAGCGAGATCTCTCAATAGATCAAGTTTATCATTTGAATCTCATGGCTCACCGAGGTTCCCGACCAAACCCATGTCGGCTCGAGTTCCAAGGTCGGCCTATGAGTTTGGGCGTCCCCCATTTGTCATGTAAATGTCGAGGAGATTCACTCCATCGACGTATGCAATCATAGCATACCATTTCATGTATTCAAGCATTTGATAGGTTTAAGCAGACATTTCAAGTCATGTAAACCAAGCAAATCATGTTAAGCATGAGTCATTCGTTTCAAATGAGAACGAGTGCGATCAAGTACACACTCGACTCCATTTTGTCAAAATCAGTTAAGCTAAGCATGAAATCAGGTGAATCAAGCATGAATCAAGACTTTAGAGTTCAAGTAGGCATACACTTGACACTCACCAAGTTATGCAAGCAAGTAAATTGGAGGAAGAGTTCAAACTTCCACAGTAGGGTCCTCTTGGAGGTCCTCGTGCGTGCCTGAGCAAATAATAGTGAATTATCACCCATATCTCAAATATCAAGGAATAATTCGTTCACTAGTATTACTCTAGGAAATTCCGTGAAAATGAACCTCAATTACTCGTAAATCGAGGTTCGAGAGAGGTTTGATAACATTCAACAATATTTAAGTCTTTATCTAGGAAATCGGGGATAAAACGTTTAGATTATATCAAAAGAATAAAGAGTTCTTGAAAATCTCTATTTCCTTGAAAGTTGGAAAAATTTCAGTTTTGTTATGAATCTTTGAAAAATCGTAACTCACTCGGCATAAGTCAAGAATTGGAAAACTTTATACCGTTGAAAACCTCTTAGAAAGTACTGTAAGTTCCTAGAAGACACTTTTCCATGAATCGAAGTGGAAAGTGCTCAAAAATGAGCCTAAAGTTGCTGTTCCAAATCACCCAGGATTGAGCCGGGGTTGGTTTTTCGCTAACTTTGAAAATTCGGCAGAATTCACTCGTTGCAAACCAGCCCTTGAAATTTATAGCTCAATTAGAGGTGCAAGTAAGGTTTAGGTCAGAACAAACGGAACGAGAATCGGAGTTTCGAGTACCAAGATATGATAGCTCAAAGTTGGGAAAAATTCAAGACTGTTACAAAATTTCCAGATTTGGTTCCAACTTTGGACCTTTAGTTAAGTGCCGAAACGGACTTGGATTGACACCAAATTTTGCAGTATAATACTTCCATATGAAGGTTATCTCTCTATCAAATTTCACGGAAAAATACCCTCGGGAGGGGGGTCATTCAATCAACCAAAGTTTGAAAAAATCCTTAAGGCAATCTGTCCAAATCTAAGATTTTCAAAACGAGCAGTCGCCGTATTTTGATCATAACTCTCTCAATTTAACTCGGAATTGGGAATGGTTGATAGTGTTAGAAAATAAATTCATAGGGCTACACTTCACAGAAGAAATCGTTCCAAGTTTCGGCATGTAACTGCTTCAAAATCAAGCCTCAAGTTGCAGCATCATCAAATCATTTCGGCAGAACGGAGAAACAGGACAGTCGACTTCAGATGAATGGTGTGGCTCACACACATGAAACCAGAATGTCCATTATACACCGTTGGAAACATGGGAACGTCTAGTTTCAAATGCCGCTGACGGCACTTGATTTCGACGTCGGAATACCGAGTTATGGACAAAATACAACCACTGGTCTGGATTACGGCGAAACCGTTTTCCAGATTACCAGTTTTTGAAATAAATTCGTTTGAGCAACCAAAACTCAATATTTTTCAACAAAATTTTGTACACAACTTCTACAACATGTAAACAACATAATCAAGCCTTTAAATCCTCAATTATCTGCAGTAAAGTGACCGAACAGAGCAGGGGTAAAATGGGAACTTTTTGTTTCAAGAGTTAAACAACGTTTCTGTCAAGAATGCACCTTTAATCTACTTCCTTAAGCACTAATTCAGCAAATAAACCATCATCAAACATCATCACAGCCATCAATCCAAAGTGGGAGTTCATAGAGCCCACATTTCCAACAATCCAAGCTACTAAAGTAAAGATTCCAACTCAAATGCGTAAATCAACTTCCATAAGACAAGTTGAAGGTGTTAGATTGTTACCTATTTTGATGGTTGGTTTGAACAGAATTTTCGGTCCTTTGAAGCTTGAAGAAACCGTGAAAGCTCCTCCCTTTTTCAGCCTATGTTGTTGTCCAAGTGAAAAGCTAAACGAATGTGAAGTTTGGTGAGAATCTATGGAAGTTTTGGTAGGAATTTGGTTGAGTTTTAGAAGAAAAGAAATGGTGACTTTGGTTGTTCCTTTGCTGCAGTCTAGCCGGCCATTGTAGCAGAGAAAAGGAAATGAATTTCGGCTCTGTAGCCTTTGCGTACAAAAGACGCTTGACGTCAAATCCTTTGATACGTCAAATCAATTTTAACTAGTACCCTACGCGCGCGTTTTGTATCCGATTTCTCTTACGTTTGTTGCACTAGTGCACTAAACCTCTAGGGCCCTTACATTCATATAAATATTATTCATTCTTAATTGTCCCAAAATAATGGTCCAAAGTTCCTCAATTAAGCGCGCACGTGAAAACACGTATTTCTAATTTAGGCGCAATAAAAATTAAAACCTTTGAGAAATTCTTATAACAATCGTACCACTAGTTATCACTTGAGTACTTAAACCTAAAATTGCCTATTTTAGGACCATTGTATATGTCTCAAATTTTTGAGCTTATTGTACTCCCAATTGGCTAAAGTGTTTAGACACGTTTTCATTTTTTCGCTAATCAAGCTTTTAAGAAAATGATTTTTGAAATAAGGCGCTTTAAAAATATAACGAAACTATAAAACCATGTACTTAGGTCTAATAAGGCTAGAAAATATTATTCGGAATAAATGGGCAATTAAATATACAAATGAGCTCGAAAATAGGAATTTAAAATAATAAATTTCGCGAGTCCTCACTGGAGTCTAGTACTAATTCCTCAATTAACCTTTCTTAATCTATTATTGATCATCTTTAATTCTCCAATATTAATACACTCATGATTCAAGTATAGCCTCGAAAACGTGTACTTGTTATTTCGAACTAAACGAATTTCTGAAAAGTGAATTTTCCAACAAAATATTTTAAAATTATAAAGAGGCGTCATTCCATATAAATGAATTTAAAATGGTCGAAATAAATAATTCGAAAAAAATGAGTGAATAATCTTTTAAATATTCCAGTAATATTCTTTAAAAATAAGAATATTTTCGGGTCCTCACATCCTCCCCTTCTTGAAAGGAATTTCGTCCTCGAAATTCATACTTAGAACAATATCATTCCCTTCATGGTTAAACCTATCAGATCAATCATTGACTTACATTTTCCAACTCATTCCAAATCATGAGTTGATTACTTTATTCTGGGAAATTTTAACTTTCAGAAGGCATATACAATCACCTCATCATATATTATTAATATACATTCTAAACCATCCTTTGAACCATCTGTATAAATCACAAAATCACCTCATCCGCTCGGTAAAGCCAATACAAGTGCACTGGTTAAACGATTTTCACCTTCAAATTCTTCCTCACATTTAGAATCTCAAATAACTTGCCAAGTCTCGTATCCTTAGAAGTCCCTGATCAAACCAAGGTAATATTCGACTACCTCTAAGAACTCCAAATTTCGGTAGGATTTTCTAGTCATTTCCTCTTAAACAGCTTCCACTTAAGTTGAGTTAACAAAAATTTCTTCCTTAGATATTATATAACTTAGAAAGGCTATTTCTTCCCATCGAACTCACATTTATTGGACTTAACAAAAGTTAGCATTCTCTCGGGGTTTGTAAAACTACCATCAGGTATTTTTTTCATGATCTTCTCAAACTTTAGGGTATATCAATACATCATCAATAACTGCCATCACAGATTAATCCTATTACGATTTAAAACCTTGATGCATTAATGCAATAATTGCTGCTAATACATTAGTCAACCCAAATGGCATAACTGAAAATTCAAGCATCCCCATCTTGAATTGGAAGTGGTTTTAAGCACATCAGTTTCTAGAATTCCCGGTTGGTAGTAACTCTACTTTAAATCCCTTATTCGCTGCTCTTGACCCTTGATTATAATTCTCATTTATGTGAGGCTATGGAGTATTTGTTCTTAATAGTCTCATCGTTCAAATCTCAATAATCTATGTATATATAGCCTCAAGCGTCCATTCCAAATATAACATCCGGTCCTTAACTGTTAGACTCATTCAAGCCATCAAATATTTCCTTTCACTCACCCAAATCTCACAACTTTTAATATCTCAAGTTGGCGATTAAACATTGGATCCCATCTTCAACCCTAAGTTCTCGACTTTTTTTTTTTCTTCCCAAAATTCAGCCAATTTAGTTTGGAATTCCAACTCCTTGTGAAGAATTTCTATTTCTATATGCATCTCTTCCAAACTTTTCATTCATTCATTTTCTTAATCCTGACTGTTAGCCTATCAACAACTCAAGCATCTAAATAAGTAGCAAACCAGAATTTGAAACTCAACTATCCACAACCTGTGAATTCTCACGCATCTAAGTCATCCAGGTATATTTACTCTTCCCTCTCCTCGAATGATAATTAAGAAAATCCACACACACGACTAAAGTAATACCTCTTGATATAACGATATGTACTTTCATTCTAAGGTCTTACTCCCGTGTGTATTGAAACCATAATTTACACGCCATATGAAACAAGTTCCAAATCCTAACAAAAAAACTGTTACGCACTAGCAGGACCAAAATCCCTTTCCTCAAAATTTTGTCTAAATCAAACCAATCACGACTTACAAGATAAGGTCAAGACTTTTGATGTATTTTGAATGTATCTGTGGCAAAATGCGATTCAAAATTTTCAAAATTAGAGTTAAAGATACAAATTTTTCTTCACGACCCAAAACTAAATTTTCTTAGTAAGAGATTTCAAATAATGTTTAACCACAATCATCAATACATATTTAAAATCTCTCAAATAGATTTAAGAATATTAATCATGCAACTTAGTGCATGATTTTTAAAACATATACATAATAATCATAACATATACATGGAGGGTGTTCTAACACTTTTCCTCAAAATTTCGAGTTAAATCTATGTTCGAGTAAGGCGTATATTTTAGAAAATACCTTTAAGAAAGATAGGTAAACATGTAGGTTCATATTCGCATAACCTGTGATCCAATACCTTTACCACCCTTTTTTCCAACCAAGAGTTAACTCTACTGGTACATAAAACCCGATCATTTCTAATACCTGATTCATAACAAATAGGCATTCATGTTTCTAAGAAAGATTCGAACTTGAACTCTATCTAATTTCGAGTCTCAAACGAGTTCAAAATATGTATACATATATATATAAATTTTGTGAAAAGTAAAATAAGTGAATCTGGGTATAGTATTAGTCAAGTAAAATTGAAAGCGCTTTTGTTCAAGTAGAACAAATTGGTAATGAGTTCAAGTCATCTCACCAAACCCACGAAATACTTTTGGAGTTCAAACTTTCACAAAAGTTGAAATATGGCCACAGGACCAATCATAATATACGCATAAAGCAGCTATTAAAATTTCACACAGGAAAGTCTCACTAAGTTGCCAACTAGATTAATCCATTATACACTGGTAGATCTAATCTTCTGGTTTATTCTCGATTCATATTCAGTACTAGGATCTCATTAAATTATATAAGATTATCCATCAATTTTTCTCACGAGTACAAGGTTGTCTAAATCCTCGGCCACGACCCCTTTTCCTATTCCTGCTACCATACTTAATAGGAGTCTATGAGCGCAAGAAAGGAATAATTAATCATAAAAGAACTTAATGCATGTACAAGTTGCAAAAATATTTAGAATCAAGACATGATTCTTTACATGTATCGAATGTTATAGTATGAGTTAAGAAGTCACAAAACAAGCCCAATATGTCAAATATTGTATATAGGCAATTAAGGGTCACAAAATGTAGAAGTATATGCAAGCGGGATACAAAAGGTCTCACGGCGTGCACCACCCTTCCTAAGTCCTTAATTAAACCAATGGGTCCGAATATCACTAATTCCAATCAGATCACATGCTTTTACGAAATTAGATCCAATCAAACCATAACACAAGCGGAAACCAAAGGTTATCCATTCGAAATTCAAAATCTTTAATAAGCAAGCCACCAACCAGAGCACCATCATCTTCAAGAATAACTAGTCTTAGGATTTTATAGTTAAAACCTCAAGCTCCAAGTTCAAACCCAAGAATTAAGTACAACTTGCTAACTTACGTGTCAAATGGAAACCAAGTCAATTCACACTAACTGCGTGTTCTTGAATGCAGTTACTCTATATCTCAAAGTTCCCTCAATCCGTACACCTAAAGATAGGCTCACCCTTCTTGAAAACCAAGAATTTTAAAAGATAAGAAGAGTATTTAAAGTAACAAAAATCTTATCAAGTTCAAGATCTTCATTATAAAAACATAAGTTCGCCGTTCTTTCGAAAATTCAAGATATTATTATTATTATTTTTTTAAAGCATAGATGAATTCAAGTGTGAGAATACACCAGTATACAATCAAGAGGGAAAGTCTAGTTTAGGAAATTTTAACCTTGTATCAGCCCATCACATACAAAATTTCAACAAACTCATCAGCTATTCACAAATTTTTAAATTGCAATTCAAGTAAAATTCACATATTTACCAAAATCGAAGAATTACACTTACTTAAAGCATATATATATTATTTCCAATCATCGTTTGAAAATAAAACTAGTACATCCTCATTTTTCCTTTAGAATTTCAAAGCATAAATTCTCTAGGAGGTAAATGAGCAGGAAAATGCATTTTATTCCTTTGAAACTCTTTTATCTGGGTTCACAATCACGATACATAGTGTTTGACCATCAAATCTCGGTCTCTTATCCGCTTTAGCCAGCACTAATAATTGTCTCACTTCTTTCCACACTTACAAGTGTAATAATAATTCAAATTCGTCCAATCTTTCACTACTAATCTCTCATCCCATATTTTCCTTCAATATAACATCGGCTAATTCCTCAATTTTTATTTCTACAAGTCCCAAGTAAGAAATTCTCAAGTAACCAATTTCTTTAACCCGTAGGATACAATAGACCCTTTAGTTCACAAAATATTCAAATTAATCCCACAGTCAGGCATCCTAAATTTTAAACCTATGATACACTACAAGATCTAAAGCCTAAACTCTGATACCAACTGTAACGCCCCCACTTCTCCCTAAGGCGAACCAAAGGGTATCCATGGGACGCCTGCCTAGCTCTCGCCAGAACTCAAGCAATTCCATTCAACTTATAGCCAGACCACACAATACAAGCCAATAACTTAGATACAATAAAATGCGGAAACGTTCAAACTTAATAATAGTCATCCATTCTCCAAACCACACGTCGGTATACAAAATACATTTCGTCCAAAGGTTACATTTCCATACCAAAAGTACAATCCCAAAATCAAAGGCATAACCAAAAGTAATAGCAAACCCTAAAACGAAAATACATCAGGAGGGCTTCTCCATTTTACCTCCGAGTTCAAACCTGTTAAGAAAAACAAATCTACAGGGTGAGCAAAACGCTCGTGAGGCCAAGAACACACATGCAAACACATAGTTCAGATAACAAGCCCAAATAACAATTCAGGTATTAGCTTGCAAGTAATTAATAACACCAATAAACTGTAACTAGAAACAATTCAAGGATATAGAAGCTCTCAGGAGCTAAGTTCCACATTTGTCGATACCATTTATATATCTTTCCGTGATGACTCTCCGTCAACCGGATTGATATTTTCATATCCGTAGTTCACCACTTACTTCCCATCCGTCCACCATACACCACTTCGGGCCCGCACTACATTTATAAGGCGATACTATATGTAAGAGCCCGGTGCTACCCAATGAGTACAAACAATTTCACAATGATGCACAAAGATATATCAAATTTAAGCACAATAAAGAAAAATTAATTAAAGAGAAAAGATAAGAAATGCAAACCAAATATCAATCCAATAGCCTCTTCAATTGATGGCGATGCTAACCAAGATGTACAAGTGAAGGTTCACTCCTTTCTCACCCAAAATACTCTTTGGTTGAGCCAAGGAGTTTTACAACAATTCTAGTTAACCCTCAACAACCTACACTTGAAAGATCACTCACCCAATTAAGAACTATTTTATACAAATGAGGCAACCTTCACCAAGGTTTTACCACTCCAAGTGATAGGTTCACCTTCACCAATGTTTTCACTTGAGCAAGCTCACAACCCAACTTTTCCAACCCCTTATACAACCAACAAAGAATCTTTCTACTCAAAAATCTCACTTGTAAGCTTGTATTTTGTGTTGGCAAAAGTCCCTTGTCTTCTTGTGCTTTGGGGTGTTTATAGAAGGTGAGAAATGGCTTCAAAAGGCTCTCCAACGGTCAAATATTAAATGCTGTCAAAACTAGCCGTTGGCCTGTCGGACGTCCGAGACCTCCTGTCGGACGTCCGAACCCTGCGTCCAAACCACCTGTCGGACGTTCGAACCCTGCGTCCGAACGTAGGCAGAGAGTCATCAAATCTTTGCGAAATTTCTCGGACGTCCGATGCGATCGATGTGCGTCCGAGGCGTGCGTCCGATCCTTCCGGACGTCCGATGCTTCCTCACGAGCGTCCGACAGAGTTTCCTTCTTGATGTTCTTCATTCTTTCGGACGTCCGATAGCGTCCGACATGAGTGCCCTGTTTTTGCTTCTTCTTTTATGCCACAAGAATCTATTCTAACAAATTACTCACATAAAAACATTAGCCCAAATCTACATTTTGGTTTGTTAATCATCAAAATCAAGGATTGATCGACCAAGGTCAACAATCTCCCCCTTTTTGATGATGACAAACAAAATGAAGATTTCTTTTATCAAATAAGTTCAAATAAAGCTCCCCCTTAGAAAGTGCCAACATACAAAGAAATTTCAATAAATCCTACTCCCCCTTTTGGCATCAATCAAAAACAAACTCCCCCTTTATTTTTCAAATCAAGACCATATTGAATATCAAAATTTTCAATTGTACTTACAACCATATAGCACTTCTTGGATCAAATCATCATGATGTGCCTAAATATGAGAAATTTCATTTGGTACCCTTTCTTTATAGGATCCTTGGGAGTTAATACGACATGATCTAGCAATCCACATGAATTTCATGCCTTTTCTCATATTTTTCTTTACATAGCAATCATTTTGCATATGTCCAAATTTGCAACAAAAGTTACACATGATAGAAGTATTTTGCACATAGGTGGATTTAATGCAACTAATTTTCTTACTTCTTATCATAGCAAACTTATTTGTGCCTTGAAAAGATTTTCTTTCTTTTGTTTGAGAAAACTTTTGTTTTTCATTTTGGAGAAACTCGTTCAAGTCATTAATTCTTTTCTTTAACACATTTTGTTCCTCCAACATTTTTTCATAAAACTTTGTTTTCTCTTCTAACTTCCTTTTCAAATTATTTTTGCAATCAAAAACACTTTTTTGATTTTTTAAATCATCATTTTCCATTCTCAAACATTTGTTTTCTTGAAACAGTTTGGAGTTTTCTTCCAACAAATCATTTATTTTTGTTTTCAAATCTGTATTTTTAGCATAAGATTTTCTCAAACTTTTATGCATTTTAATCATAAGAATTTTCACATCATCATCTTCATTATTTTCATCACAAGAAGAGTGATAAGAACTTACCTCATCTTCTCCAACGGCCATTAGTGCCATTTGGGCCAACTCTTCTTTTTCTCTTTTTGAATTGCATTCATCCCATGTAATTTTGCAATCTCCTCTTAAGCATCTCTTGTTGAAGGTCTTCTTGGAACTTTTGATGTGAGGAGTTGTATCATTGTCCACTTCCATGAATTCATTACCCATGAAGGATGGGTTATCCCCCACTTGAGATGCTTTAAAAGCTATGCCTCTCTTATACATTCTTGCATTTTCTTCCTCTTGCACTTTGAATTTCAGCTTTAATTCATAAGAGGTTAGGGTATCCACAAGAGATTCAATGGACATAGAATTTAAATCATTTGCCTCTTCTATAGCATTTATTTTGTTTTCCCATTCTTTTGGCAAGGCATTCAAAATCTTTCTATTTTTCTCACCCAAAGAATATTCTTTTCCAAGCAATTTAAGATCTTCAATAATGTCACAAAATCTACTACACATCTTATCAACATTTTCAAGAGGATGCATTTTGAAAAATTCATATTGAGAAACAAGCAAAGATTTCTTTTGTTCTTTAATATCTTGGTTACCTTCATGAAATATACACAATTTATCCCAAATATCTTTAGCTGATTTACAACCTTTAATCCTACTAGATTCATTTACATCTAATGCATTGTACAATATACACATGGCCTTGGCATTCAAAGAAAGGTATCTCTTATCTTTTTCATTCAATTCTTGTCTAATTTTTAATCTACTCAAATTAGTGGTAGAGTCAACTATTCTAACTTCATAAGGACCATCTTATACCACATACCATAATTCAATATAAACGGATTGTAAGAAAATCATCATTCTTTGTTTCCACATGCTAAAATGAGAACCATTAAACATAGGTGGTCTATCAATAGATTGTCCTTCTAAAAAAGAAACTTTTATGGTTGCCATGATCTTTACTCTAAGCGGTTAAGCTTGATCAAAAGAGACCAAGCTCTGATACCAATTGTAAGTGCCCGGTGCAACCCAATGAGTACAAACAAATTCACAATGATGCACAAAGATATATCAAATTTAAGCACAATAAAGAAAACTTAATTAAAGAGAAAAGATAAGAAATGCAAACCAAATATCAATCCAATAGCCTCTTCAATTGATGGCGATGCTAACCAAGATGTACAAGTGAAGGTTCACTCCTTCCTCACCCCAAATACTCTTTGGTTGAGCCAAGGAGTTTTACAACAATTCTAGTTAACCCTCAACAACCTACACTTGAAAGATCACTCACCCAATTAAGAACTATTTTATACAAATGAGGCAACCTTCACCAAGGTTTTACCACTCCAAGTGATAGGTTCACCTTCACCAAGGTTTTCACTTGAGCAACCTCACAACTCAACTTTCCCAACCCCTTATACAACCAACAAAGAATCTTTCTACTCAAAAATCTCACTTGTAAGCTTGTATTTTGTGTTGGCAAAAGTCTCTAGTCTTCTTGTGCTTTGGGGTTTTTATAGAAGGTGAGAAATGGCTCCAAAAGACTCTCCAACGGTCAAATATTAATTGCTGTCAAAACTAGCCATTGGCCTGTCGGACGTCCGACAGGTGCCTGTCGGACGTCCGAACCACCTGTCGGACGTCCGAACCCTGCGTCCGAACGTAGGCAGAGAGTCATCAAATCTTTGCGAAATTTCTCGGACGTCCGATGCGATCGATGTGCGTCCGAGGCGTGCGTCCGATCCTTCCGGACGTCCGATGCTTCCTCACGAGCGTCCGACAGAGTTTCCTTCTTGATGTTCTTCATTCTTTCGGACGTCCGATAGCGTCCGACATGAGTGCCCTGTTTTTGCTTCTTCTTTTATGCCACAAGAATCTGTTCTAACAAATTACTCACATAAAAACATTAGCCCAAATCTACATGTTGGTTTGTTAATCATCAAAATCAAGGATTGATCGACCAAGGTCAACACTATACGAGTATGCCAAGCGAGATCTCTCAATAGATCAAGCTTATCATTTGAATCTCATGGCTCACCGAGGTTCCCGACCAAACCCATGCCGGCTCGAGTTCCAAGGTCGGCCTATGAGTTTGGGCGTCCCCCATTTGTCATGTAAATGTCGAGAAGATTCACTCCATCGACGTATGCAATCATAGCATACCATTTCATGTATTCAAGCATTTGATAGGTTTAAGCAGACATTTCAAGTCATGTAAACCAAGCAAATCATGTTAAGCATGAGTCATTCGTTTCAAATGAGAACGAGTGCGATCAAGTACACACTCGACTCCATTTTGTCAAAATCAGTTAAGCTAAGCATGAGATCAGGTGAATCAAGCATGAATCAAGACTTTAGAGTTCAAGTAGGCATACACTTGACACTCACCAAGTTATGCAAGCAAGTAAATTGGAGAAAGAGTTCAAACTTCCACAGTAGGGTCCTCTTGGAGGTCCTCGTGCGTGCCTGAGCAAATAATAGTGAATTATCACCCATATCCCAAATATCGAGGAATAATTCGTTCACTAGTATTACTCTAGGAAATTCCGTGAAAATGAACCTCAATTACTCGTAAATCGAGGTTCGAGAGAGGTTTGATAACATTCAACAATATTTAAGTCTTTATCTAGGAAATCGGGGATAAAACGTTTAGATAATATCAAAAGAATAAAGAGTTCTTGAAAAACTCTATTTCCTTGAAAGTTGGAAAATTTTCAGTTTTGTTATGAATCTTTGAAAAATCGTAACTCACTCGGCATAAGTCAAGAATTGGAAAACTTTATACCGTTGAAAACCTCTTAGAAAGTACTGCAAGTTCGTAGAAGACACTTTTCCATGAATCGAAGTGGAAAGTGCTCAAAAATGAGCCTAAAATTGCTGTTCCAAATCACCCAGGATTGAACCGAGGTTGGTTTTTCGCTAACTTTGAAAATTCGGCAGAATTCACTCGTTGCAAACCAGCCCTTGAAATTTATAGCTCAATTAGAGGTGCAAGTAAGGTTTAGGTCAGAACAAACGGATCGAGAATCGGAGTTTCGAGCACCAAGATATGGTAGCTCAAAGTTCGGAAAAATTCAAGACTGTTACAAAATTTCCAGATTTGGTTCCAACTTTGGACCTTTAGTTAAGTGCCGAAACGGACTTGGATTGACACCAAATTTTGCAGTATAATACTTCCATATGAAGGTTATCTCTCTATCAAATTTCACGGAAAAATACCCTCGGGAGGGGTCATTCAATCAACCAAAGTTTGGAAAAATCCTTAAGGCAATCTGTCCAAATCTAAGATTTTCAAAACGAGCAGTCGCCGTATTTTGATCATAACTCTCTCAATTTAACTCGGAATTGGAAATGGTTGATAGTGTTAGAAAATAAATTCATAGGGCTACACTTCACAGAAGAAATCGTTCCAAGTTTCGGCATGTAACTGGTTCAAAATCAAGCCTCAAGTTGCAGCATCATCAAATCATTTCGGCAGAACGGAGAAACAGGACAGTCGACTTCCGATGAATGGTGTGGCTCACACACATGAAACCAGAATGTGCATTATACACCATTGGAAACATGGGAACGTCTAATTTCAAATGCCGCTGACGACACTTGATTTCGACGTCAGAGTACGGAGTTATGGACAAAATACAACCACTGGTCTGGATTACGGCGAAACCGTTTTCCAGATTACCAGTTTTTGAAATAAATTCGTTTGAGCAACCAAAACTCAATATTTTTCAACAAAATTTTGTTCACAACTTCTACAACATGTAAAAACATAATCAAGCCTTTAAATCCTCAATTATCTGCAGTAAAGTGACCGAACAGAGCAGGGGTAAAATGGGAACTTTTTGTTTCAAGAGTTAAACAACGTTTCTGTCAAGAATGCACCTTTAATCTACTTCCTTAAGCTCTAATTCAGCAAATAAACCATCATCAAACATCATCACAGCCATCAATCCAAAGTGGGAGTTCATAGAGCCCACATTTCCAACAATCCAAGCTACTAAAGTAAAGATTCCAACTCAAATGCGTAAATCAACTTCCATAAGACAAGTTGAAGGTGTTAGATTGTTACCTACTTTGATGGTTGGTTTGAACAGAATTTTCGGTCCTTTGAAGCTTGAAGAAACCGTGAAAGCTCCTCCCTTTTTCAGCCTATGTTGTTGTCCAAGTGAAAAGCTAAACGAATGTGAAGTTTGGTGAGAATCTATGGAAGTTTTGGTAGAAATTTGGTTGAGTTTTAGAAGAAAAGAAATGGTGACTTTGGTTGTTCCTTTGCTGCAGTCTAGCCGGCCATTGTAGCAGAGAAAAGGAAATGAATTTCGGCTCTGTAGCCTTTGCGTACAAAAGACGCTTGACGTCAAATCCTTTGATACGTCAAATCAATTTTAACTAGTACCCTACGCGCGCGTTTTGTATCCGATTTCTCTTACGTTTGTTGCACTAGTGCACTAAACCTCTAGGGCCCTTACATTCATATAAATATTATTCATTCTTAATTGTCCCAAAATAATGGTCCAAAGTCCCTCAATTAAGCGCGCACGTGAAAACACGTATTTCTAATTTAGGCGCAATAAAAATTAAAACCTTTGAGAAATTCTTATAACAATCGTACCACTAGTTATCATTTGAGTACTTAAACCTAAAATTGCCTATTTTAGGACCATTGTATATGTCTCAAATTTTTGAGCTTATTGTACTCCCAATTGGCTAAAGTGTTTAGACACGTTTTCATTTTTTCGCTAATCAAGCTTTTAAGAAAATAATTTTTGAAATGAGGCGCTTTAAAAATATAACGAAACTATAAAACCATGTACTTAGGTCTAATAAGGCTAGAAAATATTATTCGGAATAAATGGGCAATTAAATATACAAATGAGCTCGAAAATAGGAATTTAAAATAATAAATTTCGCGAGTCCTCACAGGAGTCTAGTACTAATTCCTCAATTAACCTTTCTTAATCTATTATTGATCATCTTTAATTCTCCAATATTAATACACTCCTGATTCAAGTATAGCCTCGAAAACGTGTAGTTGTTATTTCGAACTAAACGAATTTCTGAAAAGTGAATTTTCCAACAAAATGTTTTAAAATTATAAAGAGGCGTCATTCCATATAAATGAATTTAAAATGGTCGAAATAAATAATTCGAAGAAAATGAGTGAATAATCTTTTAAATATTCCAGTAATATTCTATAAAAATAAGAAAATTTTCGAGTCCTCACAGGGTGAGCTTTTGCAAGCTTAGCAAGTACTACCTACTATCCCTACCAGATCATACACGTTACATACACATATAATTTAGCACTCACACAACACAATTCATACTTCATATTCATAGCTCCAACTATTACAAAAGAACCATAGGCTTGTATTCAAATTTGCAAACACAGTTATGCATCAAATTCAAATTCATAACAATCACCAAATAAAAGCTTTAACTTAATTAGAGGATCACGCCTTCATCGGTCTCTGTGTACACAGCCTAGTGTTTAACCCCCACTTGGGAAAGGTCATAGTTCGAATTCGAATTCGAATTCATAATCACAATAGTTGGGCCTGGTCCTGTCGAGTGTAGTCATGATCATAATTAAATGGTCCATTACATTAGTATCATTTTATTTCATAACACATTTCATAGTAAGCATATCACGATACAGGTTCCATTCAAAATAGCATATATGATCCAAATTTTCATATAGTAAAATAACATTCCAATTCATAAAATACTTGCTGTCACAACTACAAGGATAGTGTGAAGTGCTCACTTCAAATTCGAACTAACTTCTTTTACTCTTCCACCCCTTGAACTACCCATTATGTGTGACCTTAATAATATACAAAAGTATCATCTAACTATCCATAAATAAACACTCTTAATTCATGTGGACTGAATTGGTCTCATTCCGCGATACTTATAGCTTCTACTTCGTCTTACCAAAAATTTCAAATTCAACCAGTTGCTAGTGCCTTGGTCCTAACTTCAGGTATACGCATTGTAACTAGAAACTAAAGGTACTTCCGTAAACTAGACTTGAAACCCTACCACTTCAGTGAAGACTACTTCCTTAGATTCGCTCATTTGCCTTGGCAAAATTCGCTCATCATCTCTAGTTACTCCACCCGACAGATTTTCTGTTCATAATCTATCCCTGGAAGAATTCCTAATCTTTAAGTTAAACAATTAAAATTTCTGTCTTATTACTTGTGATGTTTGAACTAGCCTTTGCCTGATATTAATCTTCCCAAAAGTTAAAGTTTTAGTGCTCTTTCCAAGTTCCAAAGCTATAACCCATTAGATTTAACAATTTGATTCTTTTGACAGATTCGAACTCGCCCACTGAACCCTTGCAAAAATGATCTTTAAGAACTAGATTTTATATTCCCAACATCCAGAATGTTCTTTTACAAGTAATACCCCAAATCTATAGTCAAATCTTGGGTGAAAGTTGCCTTAAATTCGTTGCTTAATCCCATAAGAATCAAGTTTCCAAATCTGCTTAGAAACCTGATAGATTAGGATACCAGTTTTTTCTTTTCTTTTCTTCTTCCAACTTGGAGAAAACTCAAGAAACATTTTTCAAAAATTACCCAAACTTTTATAATCTGATCTTTACATGTTAGGAGGATTCTGGTTCAAGATTCTTGCAAAAATTATGTTTAAGAAAACATTTTATTGACAAACAACCTAGCCTCATGCAAAAACTGCTGACACATGACCAGTTCTGATTCAGAAATTGATAGACCGTTCTAAACTTTGAATTTTTGTCTGAAATTTTATACACAAACCCTACACATATAGGCCCATAACATACCAAAATTTCATCAAAAACCACAGCTTCTAAGGCCACGAACAAATTCCATATGTTTTCCACTACAATCTGTCAAAACCTGTTGGCTATTCCTTTCAAGTTTAAACACTCAAACACTTTCAATTTAACTCCTTACAACTACGTATTAAATCACAAGTCATGATAACTGGAATGAGACTCATAGTCCACACGTTTTCTTCCTCCAACAAAGTACTCAAATCACGTAACTATTTACTAGGTTCATGAGACAAGTGTTTTACCTCTTCAACACTCGCGTAACCTCCTGGTATGTGCACCTCCTTTGTTCCCAAGTTTTCTTGAGCTCCAGCCGTTGCTCTCACTCCTTTTTTCTCTCTGTTGGTCGCTGAAAATGCAAGAAAGACGGCTCCTCATTACCCTAGGTGTGCTTATATAGGCAAACCCTAATCACAATCCCCTTTGAACTAGGTTTCCTCCCCCCTCTTTTTTTTTTTGTCTTTCCTTTCCCTTACCCGAACTGATGTTATGGTACTAGTCCTGATTCATTCCTAGTATTGACCCATATCCTTAGTTATTATACCCATACATATATCTTGGATGCCTACCCATATTTGGACTAGGAGCAAGGTAGGTATATTATTATTATATATATACATACATATGTGCACACGGCTGTGATTGCAACATAGGTACCTATTTGGTTATTGAACTATCTGCCTCTCTTTTTTTTCCACATAATTATTTATATGAAATACTTCCTTCCTACCTATTCCAAATTATCCTGTTCATAAATAAATTTTCAAATAGTCACAAAATACCGTAACTAATAAGGTTCGGATCCCTTCCTATGAATTTCAAAAGAA